AAAAAAAAAAAAAAGAAAGAAAATGAGAGTATTAAAGATGGCTAAGGTTTTTTCCTGAGCACCGGGAATGTTGGAGTTGCTTTTATCTGAGAAGACAGAACTATGGATGGAGCAGATTTGGGGATGAATATCAGGAGGTACCTCTTAAGCTGAGGTGCCCCTTAGATATCCAGGAAGTTAGTATATCCTCCCTCTGTGGGCCCTTTTAAGTGGAAAGCTAAATCATAAACAGTTTTCTTAAGAATGAAGGCCCAAAAGCAGGAATTGAAGGATCACAGTGACTCATCCGTGATAGCTTGAGGTATGTACCTTCATTTTCCAAGGGCCCAGAAACAACCATCCTTCTTGGACAGTGCTAGAGAAAGAAAACCCAACTTCTGTCATTGGCCTCCTCATTCCTTAATCCATCATAACCATTCTCTTCGTACATACTGTTCTTCAGACTGGGTGGAGCCGGCTAAAGCGTCAGAAAGTTATACTTTCTTTAGGCTCTAGTTCATCACTTCAGCCGAGCATGTGAGTCTTAGCAACTCAGACTATTTTTAGATCCTTACTTTGAGCGGGTTACTTATTTTGATGGTTGAATACTGGAAGGGTTGCTTTTTTTCCCCCTCACTTTACTTTTGGAGGGTAAACTTATCTTTATTTAAGTCTTCTAGTAATAAATATTAGTTGACTGAAAGTTGGTAGATACTTTGTGTTTTTCCTAAGGAACTATGGGGAGATACTTGGAATAACAGGGGATGTTTTGCTTTTAGAATTGAAGATAAATGGTAGTCCGAAATGTTGGAGGGTTTATCATGTAAAATATGTAATTGGCTTGTTTTGTGTTCCCTAGGGGTAGAGGATTGCTCATAAGAAAACAAGAAAGAATTTAACAGTTAGTGCCATTCCACAATGGAATAGGCTGTTTGTTGATACTGTAGGAGGATTGTGGGAATCATTCAAGAGAAAGTAGATGACTGGTATCTTGAAGTAATTTGTATATCTCATGAGGAGAGATATTTTTGAAGTACTTTGCAGCAGTTAAGATTGCTGTGATAATGTCATCTTTCTCCTGGTTACTGAACCATTGGTGCTGTTAGGGAGAATAGAGCTGGAGTAAGATGGTTCACCAAGCTATCTTTATTCCTGACCTTTTTCCTTAGCTGGCAAAGAAATGTATTTGTGAAATGGTTGGTTGGAGTCCAGGCTAGAATGTGTGGTCCTGTAATGTCTTATAATGGCATTGAGGCAATTAAATGTTTGTTGGATGACCTTATCTTCCTTAGCTTTAAGCTCTATGAGTAGACTGGTTAGTTAATGGTTATTGAGGTTTGTGTGAAGTGGAGTATTGGCTGAAGACTCGAAGATACAGTTCTTGCCCTATAAGTTTTTGGGTTTTTTTTTTTAATTTTTTTATTGTTATGTTAATCACCATACATTACATCATTAGTTTTTTTTTTTTTAAGATTTTATTTATTTATTTGAGAGAGAGAGAGAATGAAAGAGAGCACATGAGAGGGGGGGAGGTTCAGAGGGAGAAGCAGACTCCCTGCCGAGCAGGGAGCCCGATGCGGGACTCGATCCAGGAACTCCAGGATCATGACCTGAGCCCGAAGGCAGTCGCTTAACCAACTGAGCCACCCAGGCGCCCTACATCATTAGTTTTTGATGTAGTGTTCCATGATTCATTGTTTGTGCATAACACCCAGTGCTCCATGCAGAACGTGCCCTCTTCAATACCCATCACCAAGCTAACCCATCCCCCCCACTCCCCTCCCCTCTAGAACCCTCAGTTTGTTTTTCAGAGTCCATCGTCTCTCATGGTTCATCTCCCCCTCCGATTTCCCCCCCTTCATTCTTCCCCTCTTGCTATCTTCTTTTTTTTTTTTCTTAATGTATAATGTATTATTTGTTTCAGAGGTACAGATCTGTGATTCACCAGTCTTGCACAATTCACAGCGCTCACCATAGCACATACCCTCCCCAGTGTCTGTCACCCAGCCATCCCATCCCTCCCACCCCACCCCCCACTCCAGCAACCCTCAGTTTGTTTCCTGAGATTAAGAATTCCTCATATCAGTGAGATCATATGATACATGTTTTTCTCTGATTGACTTATTTCGCTCAGCATAACACCCTCCAGTTCCATCCGCGTCGTTGCAAATGGCAAGATCTCATTCCTTTTGATTTGCCCTATAAGTTTTTAACCAAAAAATGTGAGTGTTAGAATGTACAGGGAAAGAGGGTGGATTTATCTTTCATACATATGGACCCAGTCTGGCATATAACCTCTGAAATCTCCTGAAGGTCCAGAATAAGCTTTTATATGTTTTGTATGGTATAGGCTTAGAATAATGACATTCACTTATGTCAGTACCCAAATATTAAATATTTCCAAGGCTAGTCTAGTAGTACCTCATAGACCTTTTTGCGTGTTTTTTATATTTGAAAATTAATTATGATACCATTTATATTTTATAGGATCTAAGCCCTTCCCGCGATATGGTTATAAACCCTCCCCGCCGAATGGATGTGGCTCTCCACTGTTTGGTGTTCACGTAAATATTATTATTTTCTTATTTGAGAAGTTTTATGATTAGTAGGCTATGTAGTACTCTTTTTTTAAGATTTATTTATTTATTAGAGAAACCATGCACAAGCAGGGGTGGGGAGGGGCAGAGAGAGAGGGAAAGAGAGAATCTCAAGCAGACTCCCTGCTGAGTGTGGAGCCCAGCAAGCAGCTCAACCCTGGGATCATGACCTGGGCCAAAATCAAGAGCCGCGTGCTCAGCCAACTGAGCCACTCAGGTGCCCCAACTATGTAGTACTCTTAATAATTCAAGATTGTCAGTGTGTTCTCAGGGTCACAAATAATTTTGCTTATAATGTTAATTAGGTTTATTATATTCTTTTATAGCTAAAACACATTTAATAAGTCCTAACAAAACTAAATGGAATAAAATTCATGTTTTATTTTTTAATCTTGTAGATGTTAATACTATTGAAAAGATGTTTCCTCATGTTGCAAACATGGTGTAAAAGTTTGGAGTATAGAAGTAATGCTACTTAGATGAAAAAGTATAGATAAAACATAATATTTTCTATATTAAAGCAAAGCTAAGGAAGATAGCTGTGTTTTTTTTTTTTGTAGGCGAGGCTGAATCTGAGCCAACTGTTGCGGGAAAAAGGTGTTTATGAGTGATTCCTAGACACGGGTTTTGCAATATGAAGTTATTTAAAACAGTTAAAGATAAGTTATAGATTTGAAGGAACAGTATCTTTAGGGAATGGACACTTAAAGATTGAACCACAGTAACATAAACTGTAAGTTGTAGGAGCTTAAAACTTTTAAGTTTTCAGTGATATTTCATATAAAGTACATTTTATAGGGGGAGAGGTACAAAATACCTCGGAATGTCCAAAAATCAATCTTTGCTCTTAGCCTGACCTTTGTGTTTTTGAAACTATGTTTTGTGTTTTGGACAATTGGAAGTTACATTTGTTACCAGCAGATAACTGAATATTGCAAAATAGGGAGTTTTGAGGTATGGCTGAGAGGGAGAGAACATGGGTGCATGCGGGTGAGTGATGGGCAGATGTAGAAATAACATGGAAAACATTTGTAGACAGAAATGGATTTGGGAAATTACACAGTATTGTCCTTGATTTCTAAGTCTACTTGAATGCAGTACTTCAGCAGAGGAGTTTTGAATTTCATCAACGATAATCCATCCAAATGCTTCTTTCAGCTTAATATTGGCATCCCTTCCCTGACAAAGTGCTGCAACCAACACGACAGGTGCTATGAGACCTGTGGCAAAAGCAAGAACGACTGCGATGAGGAGTTCCAGTACTGCCTCTCTAAGATCTGCCGGGATGTGCAGAAGACACTAGGACTGGCTCAGCATGTTCAGGGTAAGGATGATCCAGCGGGATGGAGATGAGAGCAGTTTGTCAAGTTTTATTGCTTGACTGCTTTATGTTTCAGTACAGGATTTACCACTAGAAATCTTTTGCTGTGTATTACTCTATCTATTGTGACACAGCCCCTTCAATTTTTTGAGATGAGGAGTCATTGACTTTGTCATCTCCAAATGAGATGAGTTGCCCGCAACTGTTCAAAAAACAGTTTTGCCTAGTAGAAAAAAACTTTATAGTCATAGAAGCAAAAAGTGTTAGGAAACCTTGGGAAGATGGTATCAAAAAGTGTTAGGAAACCTTGGAAAGAGGGTATGCGAGGCAGAGAAGAATTTATCCAAGATCTTGTGCCCTGTAGTCTATCTCTAATTATCCAGAACCTAAAGTTTGAAACCCTGGATCCCGTGATTTTAAAAGTATAACACAGGATTTAGAGTGGGAAGTTCTAGAAGATTTGAGCTTTAACTGTCTCTTCATATGTATCTGTGTCAGGATGGTCCCCAAAACAACCCCCAGGTTTGCTAGGAGGACTCATAGGAATCAGGATACAGTCATACTCAGAGTGAGGGGATACGAAACAAAGTCAGCAAAGGGTAAAGGTGCATCAGTGTTCTCATTTATAAAATACTACCTACCCATCTCATGAGTTGTCATAAAGATACAATAAGATATTTGTGGAAATACAAATCACTGTACAAATACTAGAAGTTACAAAATCTTTTCACTGTCAAGCCGAAGTATTTATCATACATCGAAATCGGAAGAGAAGTTGCAAGAAAGGAAACTACACATTTTTAATCATTTTTCATAAGGTACCATGCTAGATATTTTAGATATGTTTTCCTCAATGTTCACAAAAACCCAAAGAAGTAGGTAGTGCTATACTTATTTTTCAAGAAAGGAAAAGGAGGTTCAAAGAAGTAACTCTTCCTAAGTTGCATACTTTCGATTTTAAAACTTGTGTTCTGTCTACTGCAGTATTCCCCAAACAATGTCATAGGTCTGATTCTGAATTCCTAGTAATAACTGTCAAGGAAGAAGTCTCTGCTCCAGGTGCAGCTTGGACCCCCAGTGTTTGAATCCTTTGCATGCTTTCAGCTGAGGCAAACTAGTTGCACAGCGGAAGCGTACATGGATGTATTTCCTGTCTTCTGATCTAAGGGCATACTAATGTGGCTAAATGATGAAGCCAATTTCCTTTCAATGCCCTATTGAATAATTATAGCCTTTACACTTCTGTGGTGGTTGTGTTCCTTAATGACACAGCCTTTTGGAGAAGTTTGAAAATGTCAGGATTTTGCAATGAATAGTTTCTTCCTTTTTTTTTTTTAAGATGTTATTTATTTATTTGACAGAGAGACAGTGAGAGAGGGAACACAAGCAGGAGGAGTGGGAGAGGGAGAAGCAGGCTTCCCGCTGAGCAGGGAGCCCGATGCAGGGCTCGATCCCAGGACCCCGGGATCATGACCTGAGCTGAAGGCAGACACTGAGCCACCCAGGTGCCCCAAAGAGTTTCTTCCTTAACATGAGTATTTGAAACTGGAAGTATTTGGATGACTAAAAGCTACTCTGTGCTGTGTCTCTGGAAGTGAAGTGTATGAAGATAATCTCACCTGGATGCTCCAGGCTTCTTAGAATAAGTAAATCCATTATCTTTTTTATAGTCCTAAAAAAAATTTTAAGCCCTGCCAGAGAAAAAACACTTGATTCCTAGGTCTCCCTTCCCAGGCCGAATTGGGATATTGAGAAAGAGAGAGAGAGAGACTGGGGTCCATTTACCTTAAGCATCTTAAATGATGTGTGATCAGTTCTCAGAAGTCATTGGCCGTAATTAAATGTCTTGAGGTTTCTCTGTTTTTAACCTTTATTTTTCTACACCTAAATATCTTTCCTTGAAATGCAAAATTAAGAATGTTCTAAGGCATATTTATTAGTGGTATTTTTCAGATAAAAGGAAAAGTAACAGTGATGAACTAATCAGTGTTATTGAGAAAGACTTGTTTGCTTAGTAGAAAAAAAATGGGTTGAACAGTTGCGGGCAAACAAAAAAGTAGATACATGCTCAAGTGAAAGTCTATATGTATGTGCTTCGGGCCTCTGAGGGTTTGGGAGGACGTTGGCATAACAGATGTTTAAGTGCCCACCGAGGATGTGCTTGACACTGTGCTGTAACATGTATGTGGAGGGAGAGCGGTGCTTTGCGGTTGCCCAGCAGTAACAGCACTTTCTTACTTCGCAGCCTGTGAAACCACAGTGGAGCTCTTGTTTGACAGTGTTATACATTTAGGCTGCAAACCATACCTGGACAGCCAAGGAGCCGCATGTAGGTGTCGCTATGAAGAAAAAAGTGATCTTTAAAGATGATGCTGACAGTTGGTGACAGCAGATAAGGACAGAAGACTATAGCCTTTGACAAGGAACTACTGTTTTTACAGCATAAAGCTGCCTTATTTTTGTGAAAGGATTATTTTAAGACTTTATTTTGACATTAAAACTTCAAACAAAAGAAAAAAGTGGGGGAGGTGATCTTCCTGGACGTTGCTGCCTTAGTGTACCAAATTGTCTTGACCAATCTCAGAAAGAGGTGCATGTTAAGGGGAGAATATTTTAAAAGGAGGAGTCTGTAACTCAGTTTTCACAACTGTATTTACCAAAACAATGAAGTCAAATGTAAAATTGATTACAAGGTATGTTGAACATTATCTTATTTGGAAATATGGGAAAATCTTCACTTAGAAGTATATGTTTACTATAAAAATTTAAATATACATTTATTCCTGGAAGGCTCTGACTTTATTTTTTCTCTGTTTTAATTAACACATAACATGCTGTTTTCCTGTAGCCAATTGAGCAGTTCTATTAATGACAAAACTAGTTATAAGGACAAAGTTTCCATGTTTCTTTTTCTTATAAAATTGGAACCATCAGCTGGTGGCCTCTTAGGGAGCAAAACCAGGATATCTAGCTATTATGTAATGTGTCTAGAAGGTGACATGAACAAAAATCAGAAGCACAGCCACTTGCATTTTATGAACCATTCATATGACAAATATCATATTTTGCTATAACCTTTGCCTAAATTGAAGAAAAGATGGATTTAATGAGACAAATGAAAAGTTATTTCACATACACATTAGAACATTATATGCTGCTATGCTTTGGTGTTTATTCTCTAGCACTTGGTCCTCATAGTAGATTCAGTTATATTTTTAAAAGTCTGTAATCTTTTCCTAATAGTGGTCTTAATAAATATTGTTCTTGATACTTTTTTTTAAAGTCTTTAACTGTGGAGTCAGAAGGGATGGTAAAGCAAGATACAAAGAACTATGTTTTGTAGATTTCTTATTTACCCTGAAAATTATTAGCAGATATTTGAAAGCAAATCCCAGGACCTCCGCTGCCTCTGAAAATGTCTATATGTGTTCAAAGCTTTTCCACCCTTTGGAAAGCGCAGCTGTATTCCTCTACTGCTCTTTGCCTACCACTGGCTGTTGGCTTTCCCTAGCCTAGGATCCCAAGCCATAGAGAGCTTGTGGGTAACCTATAGCCACAGTTATTAAGATAAACTGCTTGGAATGTCAGAGAAGGACAGCTGCAGAAGTGGTTCTATTTTTAAGTCAGTACAGGCAGAAATGGGCAGAGAGAAAAATATGTTCTGGAGAAAGGGCCACATTCCTAACTTTGAATAGATATCATTGCTAAAAACCTAATAACTTCCCAAACTGAGATGATGGAGCTTTTCTGCTAAGAGATGTGTCCTCTATGAGACAAGGCAAGTGTATCCCTGTGACTAATTGAGCAAACTGGGTTCTAACTTAAATGTTTAGAACCCTTAATTGATACTTTCAGACTTTTTAAAAGGTAACAGTTTTATAAGCCATTATCCATATTTAATCTTTACCAATATTTACTATTGAAATACTTGACCAGGTAACTTTAAACTTAGATTCATGGATTTTCTTGGCAGCATTGGCTTTCTCAAGAGGACAGACTCAGAATTCTATGAAATATTTAATTCATGGTCATAAATTATATACAAAGATCAGTAGAAGCTGTTTTTATATGTTAAGATTTTTATCTTGGAATAATTTTAGATATACATAAAAGTTGCAAAGATAATACAGACTTGCTGTATACTCCTTACCCTTAATGTTAACATTTTACATAACTGTGAAAACATTTGTTAAGAAACCAACATTGGTAATTGCTATTAACTAAACTCTAGACTTCATTTGGATTGTACTGGTTTTTCCACTAATGTCATTTTTCTTTTCCAGGATACAATCTAGGATACCACATTGCATTTAGTCATCATGTCTGATAAGCCTCTGGTCTGCGATGGTTCCACAGGCTTGTTTTTTAAAATCTTGACAGTTTTGAGGCATACTGGTCAGGTGTATTGTAGAATGCCCCTCAGTTTGGGCTTGTCTGATGTTTCCCTCATATTTGGACTGGGGTTATGGATATTTAAGGAAGAAAACCACAGAGGTGATGAAGGGTTCTTTTCAGCAAATCGTATCAGTAGTTGAATGTTATCAACTTGATATGTTAACTCTGAATACTTGGTTAAGGTAGTGTCTGTCAGGTTTCTCCACTGTGAAGTTACTGTTTTTCCGTTTCCATACTTCTGTTCTTTGGAAGCCAGTCCCCAAGTCAGTCTGTGGGAGGTGGGGGGTGCGCAAGACTCTGTTCTGCCTCCTGAAAGGGGGAGTATCTTTATATAGTACTTGGTATTTTTCTGTAAGAAGGATTTGTCTCCTCACCCCTCCCATTTATTCAATTATTTATATTAGTATGGACTCATGAATATTTCTTTTAGACTTCGGGTAATATTTATTTTATTGCTCAAATTGTTCCAGCTCGGCTATTGGGAGTTATGTCAGGTTGGTTCCTGTGTGTCTTTAATGTGCCCCCATCCTTTTGATTTTTGAGCACTTCCATACTTTCTGGCAAGAAAGTAGGAATGTTGCTCCGGACTCGTCTTGTATATTTCCAGCACTAGAATCAGCCTCTTCTCCAAAGAGCACCGGTTCCTGTTATTGGAGAATGGTTTCTAGTGGAACTTAGAAACCAGTATCTGGGTGCTGGATGTGCTCATTGCTCTTGGAGTGTCACTGCTGCTAGACCCTCCCAGCAAACAGAGCTAGGAAATACGTATGTATGTTAACCCATGTACAATCTATAATGATTTCTGTATGTGTGTGTGTGTGTGTGTGTATATATATATTAAGCTGAGCATGAGTTCTTACTGATATCTTCACTTGAATCATGTACCACAGGGCATGTATTTAGATTTTGAGAATGGTATTTTCCCTATCCGTAGAATAAATTCATAAAAAAAAAAACAAGCAAAAAGAAAACCCCAAAACTAGCTTTCAGCAGCTCTCTGCAAGAAATACAACACTGATATTTTTAAATAAAACTATATTGCCTTCAAATAATGTCTATGTCTTTAAAACCTTTTGACACACTTCTTCCAGCAACAGATAAAGCTGTATTCATTTCATAGGTGGAGAAACAGGCACCAAGAAGCTCTAAGGAAGACAGAATTGAAATAGGACAAAAGCAAATTAAACACATCTGGAACAGGCTTTCCTTCAGTGAACCTGTAAACTGGTAATATTAATTAAAAAGTTGTTTTCTTAGCTTCTGATTTTCCCTAAGATGAAAATGTGGTATTTCTGTCAGTATTTATAGAAGTACAAGATTATCAGGAAATCAAAATGTATATTATTTTATCCTGGTACAAAAACAAGAATAACATCTAACAAAATGAAGACAATGGGGTCTCTATAAAAACAACTATTTAGTAGACTGACTTCAGTAACTTTGGGGTAGAATGAAACCTATTAGGTAAGATTCTTCCACAGATATTTTATTGCATTGCTCAAATTCACAGATATTACTTGCACTATATTCATTCGGGTCTTGTATAATGACTTGTTACAATAATTGAAGTAGCCCCTTTAGTTTGCTGTTTTTCCTCATGGCTTAACCTTACAAAACCAGCCATCTGCTCAAATCATAAAAGCAAGAATGAGTTCGTGTAACCAGTATACAAAAAATAACAAGTAGTTACTAATAAAAGTAACTAAAACTGGATCAGTAGTATCCTCTTGGCATATAAGCCATAGTGATGTTAGGTTTTTTTGCCTCAGGCTTATAGGTTTCCAAGACATCCTTTCAAGTCTCCTTGCTGACAACTTTACAAACCTTTTTTTGTTCGCTTTCAACTTTTCTTAAGTGTAGGAGTCAGGATAATAGAAATCTAACATTTCTGTGACTTATATAGGGAACACCAGAAGGTTTAGTGGGGTAAACTGAAAAAAAAAAAAAATCAAAATTTGAGGATTATCTCTGAATTTTATTCCATATGTTTCATTTCTAGGATAGATGACAGCTAAGACCTTCAGTTTCAGTAAGTTCTATGAAAGTGACATTCAAGCCATCTGTCAAGTAACTTTCAGTCTTTAGGATATCTTAATTATTTTAATAATATGGATTTGCTTTAGATTCTTTTTTTTTTCTTCTTCTTTGAGAAGGTAGGATTGGTAGGATTCTAATTAGTCTATGTCAGTGCACATGAGTGTGCAGTTGAATCACTGGATTCTGGCATAAAAACACCTACTGGGCCCCACCCTCCGCTCCTCATTCAGGAGATCTGATTCTATAGGTCCCAGAAGTTTGAATTTCTAGTAAGTTCCTAGATGATGTTGATACTGCTGGCTTAGAGACTACAGTTTGAAAACTGGTCAACGTAGTCTTCAGTAGCTAAGAATAATGTACTGAAAGCTTACTGTGGGCCAGGTACTATTCTAGAAGTTTGACAGTTACTGTCTCCAAATTTGAGTAAGCTTGGTCCCCATTTTACAGAGAAGAATTTGAAGCTGGGGGAGATGGAGTTGGATTACTTGTACAATGTCTCACAACTAAGAAAATGGTGGAGCCAGGGTTAGAATCTAGGCAGCCTGTTTTCCAGTCCTAGGCACTTACCCATTTTATTGGGATAGCTATTGCTTTAAAATGCTAAAATCAACACATTTATAATTCTGAAATAAGTATCTTAAAATGCTTTGTACTTATGTCTTAAGATAGACAAAATCTTATTTTAAAATATAACCACATGCATATGCTATAAAAACACAATTTTCTGAGATAACAAGATACTTGGGGGGGAAAGGTAACAAATTCCTTTCATCTGCTCCTTTCAGGTAAGTGGGTCAGCTGTTACACGCCTATAAAGTGAGTGTTTTCAGGATTCAAGCAGAGGAGACCCTGAAAATTAGGCAAAAGGACAGGAAGTTCTGGTGGTCAGATAACATGTTCAAACTGGATAAAGTCCAGAGTGCAAATGCTGAAATCCTGGATCTCATTCAATGGATAAATATTTACTGAGCACCTCCTACATGCTAAGCAACTGTGCCAGGTAATGGGGAAACTAAAAGAAGGCCAATCATTTCAATGAGCTAAAGATGGTGGTAACAGAAGCCAGGCACTGTTTTAAGTAGTCATTTCACTTAAGGGTTACAAAGCCATATAAGGCAGAGAATGTTATTTCCTGTCTTAACTACAGAATAAGTTACTAAAATAGATTTCTGAAATATGCATACAGCGAAATGAACAGTAGTAAATGGCATGGGATGAGGAAAATCCTGATTTCATATTCTAGTTAATGACCGAGTCCGCGTGGGAAAAGTTATCACGTTAAATTTTTTTTTCTCTCCCCAATAGAATAATCTGTATATTAGACGGATTTCTTATACTTATTTTAACGTATTAGAAATGATGCCTTAATACATTTTTTCTCAGTCTGAAGATGGTTACTTTTTAAATGACAAGGCCCAGAGAAGTTAGAAAAGATGAAGCCACCTTTTCATCCGAACTTGAGTTGTTCCTTGAAGCAAATTTACACAATAGCCAACCACCCCCTAAAGCGGAGCTCGGTTAAATGCAGCCTTGAGCGCCCCGCCGCGCCCAATTAGGCACTGGTCGGGCATTTTATGGGTGAGGACAACAGGCTCTGGCTCTAGAAGTCTTCACCTGTACACTCCGAAGTTCGGGCTCCGAATTTCTGCATGGTTGCTTCCCCGAATTAACTTTACCTATGAAAGCCAGACTTAAATCCTAGGGTTGCCTCCAGTTTTACTTTGCCCCGAATTCCCCGAAGAGAATTTAAGAGAAATTACAGGTCCAATAAAGTAACCGTCACTGGGGAAGGACTGCCCGTGACACAGGAAAACACGACACCGTCCACCTGGGAGGCGGTCGGGAAGCGCGAGCCCTGGAGGCGGGGACTGCGAGCCTCGGCTCCGCACAGGTGCTCTGAAACGGCCCGCCGTGTCTCCTCGGGGTGGCAACCGGCATAACCCGAGGGCCGGGCTCGTCTCCGGGCGCCAGGCGTACGAGACTGCGTCCCTCGGCCCTCCCCGGGCGCTCTGGCCCCTGCGAGCTCGGGAGTGAGGGGCAGGAGCCTGAACTCGGGGGGCGGGAGGCACCGAACGGAGGCGCGGCTCCCACCCACTCCCGGGAGCGGGCGGCGGGCCGCGGGCGGCGCGGGGGCGGAGGCGGCGGAGGAAGGGGCGGGGGCTTGCGGGCCCCTGGCTGCAGGAAGGGGAGGTCGCCTGGGCGTCGGCGCTGCGAGGGGAGACGCGATGAGCTCCGAGCCGCGGCTCCGCGGGGCTCGCCCTGCAGGTAGGCCGAGGGGGCGGGGGGAGAGGGCTCCGGACAGCTTCCCGAGGGAGGCGCGGGGCGCGCGGGCGGGAGCCGGGACCCGGGCTCTCTCTCTGCTGGGCGGCCCCAAAGAGTTGCGGATCTTGGAGGGAAGCGCTGAAGTCCGGTGGGGGCAGCTTGTCAGCTTTTTGGTCTAGAAAACCAGCCCAGAAGTTCGCCGCCGCTCGGTGCGGCCCCGGGTAGCGGCGCCCGGCGCTGGGGCATGCCCCGGCCGCCTTTGTCCTCCGGGCGCTTGGTTATCCCTTAAACCTTGGAAGTCTGGCCGGGCCGGGGCTGGCGCCCCCCCGCGCCTGCTCTTTTGGAACTTTCGGAAGGTGGATCTGGTTTTGTTTTCTTTTCGTGAGTTAAAAGTAGAAAGAAGTGGTTGCATGCATAATGGAAGCATAACCAGCCCTCAGGAGCGCCCGACAGGGGCCCCTGATTATGCCCCTACTTGACTTGGGGACAAAAACCAGGCCTTGGTGGGCTGGGCAGCCCCAGTGTCTCTCCCACATCCACGACTGTTTGTGGATTTGAGTTGAAGCCACATCTTTCTCTACAAAATAATCAACGTCTAAACGTACGTTTAGAACTTTCTTCCCTGTCACTTACTAATTGTATCACTGATAGCTTTAGAAACTTGGAGCCTGGCCATAGTAAAAAAAAAAAAAAGAAAGAAAGAAAAGGTTGAAACTAGCGGTTGATGCAGAATACCTTGTTTCAGAGCTTTTTGTTCCTTGCTGCATGAAACCAGGCTAGCCCCTGAGGCAAGTTGTAGAAGTCACCTTGGCCGTTCAGGGAGTGGCCTTGCCCTGGACGGACTGGGCAGGGTCCGGTGGCCACTCCCATTTTGGATTCCGTGGTGAGGTGTGGGCAGCAGGGGCAGGGCTCCAGGATGCCGACCACTAGTCAGGGCACTTGCCCCTCTATTCTTTTTATTCTTTCCTTTTCCTACCTGCGTCCTTCCTTTTCTCCACCCCACCCCCTTTTGAGTGTGTTCTAGGCCTGACATAGCTTACTCAATATAGGATTATTAAACAGATTTTTGATAAGGGAATATAGGTGGGTTTTCATAGGTACTGCAGTGAATGAAGACGATGACCGTGGTTAATGGAGAAGGTTGGAGAAATGAACACTTAGTTTAGGAAGGGAGCTGGCCTCTCTGGTAGGAGGGGTTTAATTTGGTGACCAGAGTGCAGAGATTTGGAGTTTCCAGGCGGACCTGGCTTTGAATCCCAGCTCCACTGCAATGTCGTTGGACAAGCCTGGGGTACTGTCTCTGTCTCTGCCTCATGGGCTGTGGAGCTGAGGGCCAGAAAGTCTGGAGTGCCAGGCCCTCAACAAATGCGAGCTGGCGGGATTATCTGGAGGCATTATCAAATTAAGGAGAGGAGAAAAAAGGAGTGATTAGTTTTGTAAAAATTAAACAGGTTCAAGGAGCAAAGAGATGGCAGGTGCATCATGGTGAAAAGGAAAATTGCCTAAATCAGAGGCAAGGAAAAGTGAAAAGAGGTCAAGAGACAAGTTTAATGACAGAACCATTTTTGAGAAATAGATTGCAGATGCATAGGAATTTACAAGTCTGTTATTTACGGTATCTCCATTGAAATTTACTTTTCCCATGAAGACAGAGCCCTTTACCCTTGTAGGCAGTTCATTTGTATTCCTGCCGTGTAATGATGACACGTATTAAGTGTGCCCTTCCTGAAAGTTTGTCTGCTGGGGACATACAGCCTAGAGTGACCACGGCGGAGTCACGGTGTATTATGTATATGGAACCTGGGACAAATTTATCAACTCCAGTACAGTTTTAGAACTTAGGTTCTAACAGCTGTGTCCATCGCTTTCCGTTCTGATTGTACAGACTGCTAGAATAGAACCTGGCCATTGACTAGCCCCTGCGGGACGCAGGGTGCACGCTAATACCAGAGCGGGCTTTGAGCTGGCAAGGGTCCGAACTAAAGTTCTCAGAGCCCAGTTTCTTTCTGCATCCATGGTGTTAACAGTAACAACAAAACACTTCTTAAAAATCCCTCAGAGATTGCCATATCTGTTAACTTTGAAACTGAATGTTATTTTAGGTTATCTGGAGCTGCCTGAAACTACTATCTTTCCTATATCCAGAGGTCACGTCTAAGCTGAGGGCAGGGTTTGAGACCATCCAGATGCACAGCTGAAATTACACCTGGCCAGGAGGAATGGTGCAATTCCTTCCTTAGACTATAAAAAATCAGTATTTTTCTTTTGCATGGATGTTATTCATTTACATATCTGTGTCCCATATTAGCCTGAGAGAAACTCAAGGATAGTTCTCATTTATATAAAAAAATGAATTTTAAAGACGCGATCGAGTGTCCCATCTCCCAATGCTTTCACCCTTGATGAGTTAGTTTGGTGACCGGCCACTCGGCACAGCTTCCATCCGCTACACTTGATGCCTTTGGCTCACTAACCGATGTGGAGCAAAAGCCAGAAGAGGTGAGCTCCTGGGTCTGCTCCTTTGTGCACCATGTCAGAGATCAGTGCTTTCTTAATTGGGCAGGTTTTGGGGGAATGAATGAGGGGACTGTCCCTCACACGGGGATTGAATATGTTTAGTTTGAGATGTTCTATTTCTTTATCATTATAACTGGTTTAAAGATAAAGAGGTGAGGTTATTAAAAGGTGGATCCTGGACCACTTTTGAAAATAGAAGGCGAGAAAATTCCTCTGCCTTAGTAGAGCAGTGTGGAGAGTAGGAAGTAATCCCAGTATTTGGGGTGTGCGGTAGGAAGTATTCAGGATAGAGCAGCGTGGGGAGGGAGAGGAAGTTTCCTGGGTAGAACTGTATGAAGGAGGAAGTCTCCCCAGAAGAATGGTGTATGCAGTGAGGAAGTATCGCGGGTGAAGCGATGTCTGGTGGAAAGCGTCCTAGTAGAGAGGTGTGTGCCAGGGAAGTATCCCAAGTAGTGCACTGTCTTGTGAGGCAGATTCCCTTTAGAGCAACATGGGGAGTAGGATCTCTGGGAGAGCGGTGTGTGGAGTAAGGGCTATTCCAAGTAGAATGATGTGTGGAGTAAAAAGTATCCCAGTAAAGCAGGGAGTTCAAAGGGCGGTATCCCCGAGGAGAGGGAGTCTGAGTAGGAAGTACTCCCCAGTAGAGCGGTGTGTGGAGCACAGGGTATCCCGACAGGGGCATGTGGAGCAGGAAGTAGGCCCGCAGCGGCATGTAGAATAGGAAGTGCATTTGGTAGAGCAGCGAGTGAAGTAGGAAGTCTCCCGGGGGATCCCTGCGCGTGCAGGAAGGAAGTGTGCCCGCAGGGGGGAGGTGAGCCCGCAGGAGGGAAGTGTGCCCGCAGGAAGGAAGTGTGCCCACGGGGGGGGGGAGTGTGCCCGCAGGAAAGAAGTGTGCCCGCGGGGGGCAAGTGTGCCGGGGTGCAGCAGTGGCTGGTGGGAAGTGTCCCGTCGCCCCGCAGAGAGGTGAGCGCCAAGGAAAGCGCCCTTGGGTAGAGCAGTGTCTTGGCAGGTGTGGAGAAGTATCCCAGGTAGAGCAGAATGTGGAGACAGGATCCCTGGCGGCACGAGGAGTGTGCTCTCCCCTCCAGAGCAGCTGTGGTGTAGAAGTTTCTGTGTAAAGCAATTTGTGGAGTAGGAAGGGTAGGATGTAGGCTCAGGTGAGCAGCTTGTGGCATAGAAGTATCCCTGGTAGGAAAGTGCGTAGAGAAGGACGTATCCTTCACAGAGCAGGGCCTGGAGTGGGAAGTATTCTGGGTGGAGTAGTTCGTGGAGTAAGAAGAGTAGAACGTACTCCTCGTAGAGTAGTAGGTGTCCCGGGTCGATCAGTGTGTGAATGGTAAGCCTTTCGGTAAGACAGTGCATGAGGTACGAGGTAACCTTGGTAGAGCAGCGTGTGGGTGACAACGGATCACCCACAGAGCAGGATGTGGAGGAGGAGGGGTCCCCCAGAGAGCAGGCTGCCTTTAGGAGGTATACAGGGAGAGCAGTGCGTGGGGCAGGAAGAAAACCTTGGGAGACTGGGGAGGATGCTTTAGGGAGGCTGCTCTTGACTCCTCAACTTTGGTATGAAAATCACCTTGTGAAAAATGCAGATTTCCCCTCCCCTGGGATTCTGATTCTGTAAATCTGGGTTAGGATCCGGGAATGGACATTTTATCACCCAGGCCAGGAATTGATGCAGAAATTGATGAGAAAAACTGAGTTAGGGTCTACTGGACAGCAGAGGGCCTTTGTGGGGTCCTGGCTCGGTGTGGATGCTGGGTGGATTCCAGGAGGAATAGGCCGAGAGTGATGGTGAAGGGCACGGAGTCGAATCCCATCCTCTCCCTCCCAGGGCAGATTGCTGTCGGTGAGGGGGTGTGAGGCTAGAAGAGTCGGGTGTCAGGGAGAGAAGGGAACGGGACCCTCCTGGTTACAAGGTGATGGGTGGGAGGGTCTGTCGTGCTTCTTTGGTGACTTCAAGGGAGAGGAGCATCTTGCTATACTGTTAATATTTGTTTATTCCTTCCCTTCCCTCCTCTCTGGGCTGTTAAGTTTATGAGGTAAAAACAGAGTCATAGCTGTGTGGGCCTTTATTGTAGAAGATGCAAGACTGTGCTGTCCAGTATAGAAGCTACTGGCCACGTGTGGTTATTGAATTAAAAATTGAGTTCCTTAGCTGCACAAGCCCCATTTCAAGTGCCCAGCAGCCACCTGTGGCCCGTGGCTAGCACATAGGACAGCATAGTGCAGAAGGATTCCATCAGCAGAGAAGGTTCTGTTGCACGACACTGCTCTAAGGGAAGGGTCCAGTGAAGGGTGGCCCAGAGGATGGGGAAGTCTGATCACGGGTCGGGAACACAGGATCCCCATCATGGGACGGGTTGTAAGTGCAGGTGTGTCATTTGGGAGATCTAAAATTTAAGCCTTTGCCCTTGGCCTTTCCCTGCTCCAGACTTCTATCTCTTCCAGGTCATAGGGTAATCCAGTATTATCCACACACTGTGTTTCAGTTTTCCTGTGTTTTTAATTCCTTCTCGGTTATAAGAATATCTGTAAAAACATTTTCTGCAGAACAATTCCATATTTCATTTGCGTTGGTCCATAATCACAGAACTGTTACTGTAGGTATATTTTGCAATGAATGCATTTGCATAATATTTTCTCCATTTCTCTTGATAATACTTTTTCCTATTTTTCAAATAAGACTTCAGGGTGAGAAGAATTGAGCTGTTAATTTATAGTTCACTTATTATTAAGCAGTTTCCCTTCCTTTTTCTCATTTTCATATACTTTTTAAGATTTTATTTATTTATTTGACACAGAGAGATAGCTAGAGAGGGAACACAAGCAGGGGGAGTGGGAGAGGGAGAAGCAGGCTTCCCGCTGAGCAGGGATGCGGGGCTCGACTCCAGGACCCTGGAATCATGACCTGAGCTGAAGGCAGACGCTCAACCACTGAGCTACCCAGGCACCCCCATATACTCTGAGTTTTAAACCAAGCAAAACTTGAAGGGCTTAGGGGCGCCTGGGTGGCTCAGTTGGTTAAGCGACTGCCTTCGGCTCAGGTCATGATCCCGGAGTCCTGGGATCGAGTCCCACATCGGGCTCCCGGCTCAGCGGGGAGCCTGCTCCTCCCTCTGACCCTATCCCCTCTCATGCTGTTTCTCTCTCTCTCTCTCTCAAATAAATAAAATCTTTAAAAAAAAAAAAAAACTTGAAGGGCTTAGAGTGTGGGAGGCCTGCTATGTTTTACTGCAAGTCAAAAAGTAAATTAACGAAATTCAACTTTTTTTTAAAATAGGTGAGGAACAAAACATGACAGAAACGGACGCCTTCTGTAAGAGGTAAAAATGTGCACTTTCCTAATGAAGGCCTCTTCCTTTGCTGATCATGATCAGTCTGTAAGAAGCAAGAAGGGCACAAGGGAGTGAGTCGAGCTGAGAACGGCGTGTGTTAGCACTGGGACAGGGGGCTCGTCGACCTGCGCATTGGTTGCTGCCCTTGGTCGTTTCCGGACCTACAGTGATGTTCAAAATATCTAGTAACTGGTGTGGTGCAGGCCCTGGAGCCAGAGCTGGGGCCTGGGCAGGCTGTTGTACCTGGTTCCTGGATCCTGGAGAAAAGACGCCCCTGGAAGGACTGGGGGTCGGGGTGCTCAGGATGGCTGCCGTTTACCAATCAGTACAGAAATATTTCGGGGTTTTCCTTACCAGTACGGCTGCGAGGCTTTCCCAGAGCACAGCAGAAGCATGCCAGCCTGGCAGACGAGGCGCAAACAGCAGACCTTTGTCTACCTTCCACATTGATCTTGGGCTTGGAGGAGCTCGTTGTTCAATAGGACTTGAAGTGATTGTTGTTTAAAACTTTTCATTAACAGTGAAATATTTGATCCGGCAGAAAAGTACAAAATGGACCACAAGAGGAGAGGAATTGCTTTAATCTTCAATCACGAGAGGTTCTTCTGGCATTTGACGTTGCCAGAAAGGCGGGGCACCAGCGCAGACAGAGACAATCTTAGACGCAGGTACTAGTTTTACCTACCTGTCAAGAGGATGGGATATTTACGTGATACTTATCAAAACTTGTCCCCACTGAGGAAATAACAGAGCAAGAGTATCTGAGGCTGGGCCTCACTTGGGCACAGGGTCCCTTGAGACCTCGCCTGAATTTTCTTCCTAACCCTGTTCTGTTCAATGTTAACAGGCTCTGCATAGTTACATACATATTTGCCAAGCAGATGGCAACATTCTAACTTGAATCAGTTATGAGTAAAACCTTGCCCACTGGGGGTGATCAAGGAAAACCATCATTGTCATCTTTCATTTTTTTCTTTCCCCCTAAAGGTTAATTTATAGGTCATAAAAACCTGTATAGATGTACTCCTAGTAAACATGGGTATGTGACAACTTTGAATAGCTCCTAAGCTAATATCTAGTTTATCACCAGGTTTTCAGAACTAGGATTTGAAGTGAAATGCTTTAATGATCTTAAAGCAGAAGAACTACTGCTCAAAATTCATGAGGGTAAGTAGTTTCCCATTTATCTTCTGAGGGGATTGAGCATCCTATCTATAAAAGCATCCAAATACTTAACTGTGTTGTAAAAAAGTCTTAGCAACTAATTTAGCATGGGTTACAGGTTTGGTTGTGCCCCTCTGCTTGGATGTTACCCACCAGATTCAGAGACTCTTGCAAAGTATTATGCCTCCAAAGTTTTTGTTTAGCATATACCACTCATTACAGTCTGTTACTCTAGAAATGAATGAAATGACCTTCTCATTTGGGAATTAAAAGTCTAAAATGCAAATACTACAAATGCTGGGCAGTCATGTTTTAATTGACTCCTTCCATACTCAAGTTTTTTACTGGCGTCAAAATATTCTGGATTTATTTAAAAAATAATAATTGTGGATTTACATATATTGTCTGAGTTTCTACATCACCGTGCAGTAGGTAATCTAACTTATGTTTATCATAATTACTGTGTGCCATGGGTTTTCAAGTCATTTGCAATGGACTATTATATTTATGTATTTAAACTGCAGAGCTTTTTAAAATTTGAGGGGTAACTGAAAAATAACATATCAGTTTCAGGTGTACAACGATTCAATATTTGTACACGTTGTAAAATGTTCACCAGTGTCCTTACCATCTGTCACCTTACAAAATTACAAAAAAATTTTTCTTGTGATGAGCATTTTAAAAATTTAGCCACTTTCAAATATATAATATAGTAGTATTATAGGCGCTATACTGTATATTATATCCCCAGAACTTATTTTATAATTGGAAGTCTGTACCTTTTGATCCACTTTACCTCACCTACCAGCAACCACCAATCTGTTCTCGATCTGTAGGTTTGGTTTCATACAGTATTTGTCTTTCTTGGACGCCCTTAAAATCCATCCATGTTGTTGCAAAGGCCAAGATTTCCTTTTTTATGGCTGAATAATATTCTTGTGTGTGTGTGTGTGTGTATGTGTATATCTGTATAGATCTACACATCCATATATATGTTTATATCCCATTTTCTTCCTTCCTTCATTCACTGATGGACACAGGTTCTTTGCACATCTTGGCCGTTGTGCTTCAGTGAACATGGGGGATGCAGGTGTCTCCAAATTAGCGTTTTCGTTTTTCGTCAGTAAATACCAGAAGAGGAATTGCTGGATCAAATGGTAGCTGTATTTTTAATTTTTTGAGGAACCTCTGTACCAGACTTCTTTAACCTGTAAAATCATTTTAACTGGCTGCTTAGCAGGTTTTCTGCTTTGCTTGCGGTCAGTGATGCAGCTGTAGAGTGAAGCTGCCATGCTCACTGGAGGTGCGGCAGCCCCCAGGAGCCCCCCCCCAGGGTAGTTGCGGGGGCTTTCCAGTCGGCTCTCAGCAGCTCTCTGCTCAATGACACTTTTATTGCCACAATCATCCCATTATGTTTCCCATGTCACTGTAGGAAAGCTAATGAAATCTGTTCAAACTCTTTGAACTTTTAATAGGTTTTTAAAAATCGGATACAGTATGGTATAAATTATTCTGTTTGATTAAAGACTAGGTTGCGTTTCATTACATTTTACATTTATTGTAATAAATTTTCCTCCTCCATCATATGTAACTTTATTCTCGTATTAGTAAACTGAATTTTTATATGTACATAATAAACCTCTTATTTCTCTAAACTTTTGGCGGCCTTTATAGCGTCAACCGCTAGCCACACAGATGCCGATTGCTTTTTATGTGTTTTCCTGAGTCATGGCGAAGGCAATCACATTTACGCATATGATGCCAAAATTGAAATTCAGACATTGACTGGCTTGTTCAAAGGAGACAAATGCCAGAGCCTAGTTGGAAAACCGAAGATATTTATCATTCAGGTAAGACATTATATTACAATCTCAATTGTAAAGTCCATGGTTTTGCACATGTGATTATAAAGAACTAAAGCCAATTTTGAAAGTAACTCTCCAATAATTGGAAAGGCCCTTTTGGCTTCCCAGCCAATCAGAGTTGCAACTGATAGCAATTCCTATTAGTAGTAATTCCTCCTTAACAAGGAATAAATAATAAAGATTATCAGTTTATTAATAGATTGACATTTGAAAGGACTTAAAATAACCAATGTGCCACACTCCAGCCGGGCCCAGCATCAGGTGCAGCTACCAGAGGAAGGGTCTCTGTTGGAAGAGACTGTGCAGGGAGGCTGGTGGGTACCTTTTCCCCTCAGCCAAACTGGTATTAGGGATTAAAATATGTTTGGCCCTGAAAGATCTCATTTGGCCCATCAGTAAGGAATCTGAACAGTGTTCTAGTGCAGCAGTTCTGTATTTCCATGAACAGCATGGGGGCATGGCCACATTCCACCTGCCATAAAGCCTTGAGGGGAGGGAGCAGGGGGTCTCTACGGAGTTAAGGGTGATCCATGGTTTCTTTTTGGGACAACTGCCTTGGAGTATCCATCACATACGGGTGGAGTTAGAGCTCTAGAACTTAAGACAGGCAGCCTGGGTTGGAGAAATACATTTGAGAGTAATGAGGAGATGAATGGTAATGGCAGCCATGGGAGTAGATGAGTTTACAAGTATCAAGTATAGCTTGAAAGATGAGTGCAAAAAAGAACTGAGGGACAGCAATGAGCAGAGGAAAGATACTGAGGGGGGTGGCCCAGCGAATAGGGGAAAAATCAGGGAAAATAATGACATGATTGCTTCATGAAAAGAGTGGCCAGCCCCGTCAGAGACAACAGAATTAGAAATAACTAGCGAGCTACTACGCAGGGATAGCCACAAAGGAGGAAAATGTTTTGCCCAGTTATTTCTCTGTGCCTCCAAGTCTTCATCTGTGAAAGGGGATAAAAGAGCACTGCCTCATGGGGTGGCTCTGAGGACGAACGACCTAACAAATGAACACACTTGGAACAGTGCCTAGCACACACAAGCCCTGCATAAAGGCTAGCTCTCAGCTGACTGCAACTGAGTTGGCAGGTGAGAGAGCATCAGATTCTAGGTGTTTTACAGGAGAGAGAGGAAGACAGTGGAAAGTAAGTTCTGAAAAGCAGCCTAATGATATGAAATAAGATTAAAATCTCCCTGTAAAAATGGAATTATTAGGGATCTTTAACTGAAATCACAACTTTTTTCTTTCAAAGCTTCTAAGTCTTGGCAGCACTTTGTGCCCACCGGTCCTGTCCCCGTGCTTTAATAAAACCACCTTTTGCGCAATAAATAAATAGATAGCTTATAACTCTTCAAGCATTTCAGAATGAGGGTTGCATTTAAAATACCACTACCAAATCTTATTAGGTCACTGTATTAAGTGTCCTAGGTCCGCCAGAACAAAGTACACAGCCTGGTGGCTTAAACAACGGAAATTCATTTTCTTACAGTGCTGGAGGTTAGAAGTCTAAGATCAAGGTATCAGGTCTCCTTGGCTTGGACGTGGCTGTCTTGTCCCTGTGCCTTCACATGGTCTTTCCTCTCTGCATGTCTGTGTCCTAATCTAAGACCCCAATTATAGTAGGTTAAAGTCACAATAGACCTCCTTTTACCTTAGTTACCTTTTTAAAGGCCATGATCTCCAAGTACAGTCACATTTGAGATACTGAGCGTTAGGACTTCTACCTATAAATGGGAGAGGGTGACAAAATTCAGCCCATAATAGTCATTTAAGAGTAGAAATTATGTCAGCCTTTGTGAGTCCAGATTAGCGGAGAAGAATTTGAGACTTCACTCTGAAGCACGAGCAAAAAGAAAGGGCCCAGAAAAAGATGTCTTCACGGGTCAGGTGGTGTCCTTTGGACAATTTATGGCAGCAGCTGGGCAAGCACAACCCAGTCAGGGCATATGATATTCCCTGGTTCACCATTAACACCAGGCAAAGACCAGAGCTTTTAAAGAAGAGATGCATCTTGGTGCTATAGCGTGGTTATTAATCCAGAAGAACCTTGAAAACCACAGAGGCTTTCTCCTCCATAGCATACCTTTCAATCAGCACAATTTGGTGTACAGTTGAGGATGCCAGTTTTTCTGAAAACCTTAATTAAAGGTAGGCAAAAGCGGTCAGCTTCATTTGCTCCGAAACTGGATGTGGTTTCCGAAGTACCCATAAAGTGGCTTGTGTTGCTGCTGACATGACAGTGTGTGAAATGACACATTCACAGTAAACACGAAGCACCGGGGAGAGGAGAGGAGGTAGGACAGGAAAGTGGGTTTCCTCCTCGTCTCCTAGGCGTGTCGGGGAGACCAGCACGACGTGCCCGTCATTCCTTTGGACGTGGTGGATCATCGGACGGACCAGCCGGAGGCCAACATCACCGAGGTGGACGCGGCCTCGGTGCACACACTGCCTGCCGGAGCCGACTTCCTCATGTGTTACTCTGTTGCAGAAGGTGGGTGGGTGTTCAATACAATCAGAACGGGCTTCCCTGACTTGAGTTCCTGTACGTTTCACCTGAGCTTAAGACTGGTGCTTCTGTTGGACACCACGATTTGATCCTGAAGTTCAGTCTTAGATTTCTTTGATCACATGGCACAGGGTGATCTCTGAAGTGTAGAGTGACTTAACAGACAAATCATTCCTGAGAACTGTGTTAGGTTACAAGTTATATTGAATATGAGCTGCCTGTTTGTTATCAGTTGACTGTGATAGTGTCATGATAACATTCCTGGAAAGCTTTGTTGAAAATACTTCTTCGACTACCGTGTTCCTTGCTCGTGCAGCAAACTACGTTTTTCTTTCCAATCTCGTGTCAGAATCACTGCCTGGTTACTGTGGTCTTGGGAATTTTTAGGAAATGGAGGAAACTACATAGAATTAACCCCATTTTTATAAAACTATATAAATTAATCCCTTTTCCCATATGAGACTAGTCAACCGAGAAAACTTCTGAAACCATCAGGGGCACATCTTAAGAATTCAAGAATTTTTGAGCCCTTATATTTCCGTAATGGTGCATTATAAACTCAAAGTAACTGAAAGCCAAAAACCCTGCCCTTTTCCTTCCTTTTAGGTTATTATTCTCATCGGGAAACTGTGAATGGCTCATGGTACATTCAAGATTTGTGTGAGATGCTGGGAAAATTCGGCTCCTCCTTAGAGTTCACAGAACTCCTCACCTTGGTGAACAGGAAAGTTTCTCAGCGCCGAGTGGACTTTTGCAAAGACCTGAATGCAATTGGAAAGAAGCAGGTTCCCTGCTTTGCCTCAATGCTAACTAAAAAGCTGCATTTTTTCCCGAAATCTAAATGATAGGAACTATTTTGTTTTATGTATCTATTTTCAAAACAGATTTTCCATCTTTTTTTTTTTTTTTTAAGATTTTATTATTTTTTAGAGAGTGAGCGAGAGAGAAATAGCATGAGAGGAGACAGGGTCAGAGGGAGAAGCAGGCTCCCCGCTGAGCCGGGAGCCCGATGTGGGACTCGATCCCAGGACCCCGGGATCATGACCTGAGCCGAAGGCAGACGCTTAACCATCTGAGCCACCCAGGTGCCCCTCCATCTTTTTTATCAGTAAATATCACTAGGTTGAAATTTATGATATAGCAATTTAAAATGTCTTAAAGGTTTAACGAGAACTTTAAAAAATAGTTCATATTTGTATTAGACATGGTGAAAGGGTTTGATATATGTGAAATGAAATCCTCAGAGAATTACTATAAAAAATCCATAAGCATTTGTAATCCTTGATTTTTATAGTAAATCACAAGGTTACTCAAAATACCTGGCTGATTTAACTTGTATTTTGTTAGAGTTTTTAATAAAAGTTTTATAATGTTTTTAAAGGTTTTTGAAACCCAAGAATTAGCTGTTTTCCCTTAATAAAATATTTTAAATTCATATTTTAAGTTTTCTAATTCACATTCATTTGTATAACTCAGAGTAGATTTGTTTTACTTGGTCATACAAATTCATCTACATATGGATTTCCACTTTTTAAAAAAAGATTTTATTAGAAATCACGAGTGGGGATGGAGGGGCCACATAAGAGACAGAAGCTGACTCCCCGCTGAGCAGAGAGCCTGATGCAGGGCTCCATCCCAGGACCCTGAGGTCATGACCTGAGCCAAAGGCAGACACTAAACCGACTGAGCCACCCAGGCGCCCCCAGGACTTCAACTCTTAAAACAAAAGCCTTTTTGGAAAGATATACTATGATCATGGATTAGAAGAATCAGTATTATTAAGATGTCCATACTTCTAAACAATCGACAGATTCAGTATCATCTCTATGTAAATACCAATGGCATTTTTCACAGAACTAGAAGAATCCTAAAATTTGTATGGAACCACACAAGACTCCAAATGGCCAAAACCATCTTGAGAAGAACAAAGCTGGACGTATCACGCTCCCTGATTCCAAACTATAATACAAAGCAATAATAACAATATGGTACTGGCACAAAAACAGATTAATGAAACAAAATAGGGAGCCCACAATCAAATAATCTTTGACAAAGATGGCAAGAACAAAGCGGGAAAAGACAGTCTCTTAAAGGGGCACCTGGGTGGCTCAGTCGGTTAAGCGTCTGACTCGGTTTCAACTCAGCTCATGAGCTCAGGGTCACGGGATAGAGCCACAGTCGGGCTCTGTGCTTAGGGCGGAGTCTGCTTCAGATTCTCCCTCCCTCCCTCTCAGTCTCTCTCTTTCCCAAATCAATAAATAAAATCTTAAAAGAAAGTCTCTTCAATAAATGGTACTGGGAAAACTAGACAGCTACATGGAAAAGAAGAAAACTAGGCCACTTACACCATATATAAAAATAAAATCAAAGGCTCAGGTCATGATTCCAGGGTCCTGGGATGGAGCCCTGCATCGGGCTCCCTGCTCAGTGGGGAACCTGCTTCTCCCTCTCCCTCTGCCTGCTGCTCCCCCTGCTTGTGCTTTCTCTCTCTGGCAAATAAATAAAATCTTTCAAAATAAAATCAAAGTGGACGGAAGACTTGAATGTGAGAACTGAAACCATAAAACTAGAAGAAAATATAGGGTAGTTAGCTCTCATACACTGGTCTGAGTACCTGCCCTCAGGCAATTGCGGGCAACAAAAGCAAAAACGGACTATATCAGACTAAAAGCTTTTACACAACAAAGGAAACCAACAAAACAAAAAGGCAACCTACTGAAAAGGAGAAGATATTTACAAATCAGGTATCTGATTAAAAAAATACTGAAATTATATAACGAACTCATTCAACAACACGAAACAAACAACCCAATCTGAATAAAAAATGGACAGAGGACCTGAATAGACATTGTTCCAAAGGAGAAATACAGATGGCCAACAGACACATGAAAAGATGCCCAACATCCCTCATCAGGGAAATGCAAATCAAAACTACAACAAATCAAAACTACAATGAGCTATCACCTTCACACCAGTCAGCATGCCTAGTATCAAAAAAACAAATTCCAAGTGTTGGTCAGGATGTGGAGGAAAGGCAACCCTCGTGCACTGCTGGGGGGAATGCAAACTGGTGCAGCCACTGTGGAAAATAGCATGGAGGTCCCTCAAAAAATGGAAAATACCATATGATCCAGTAATTCCACTACTGGGGTTATCAAAGAACACAAAACCACTAATTAAAAAATATGTGCACCCCGGGGCACCTGGGTTGCTCAGTCGTTAAGCATCTGTCTTTGGCTCAGGTCATGATCCCAGGGTCCTGGGACCCAGCCCTGCATCGGGCTCCCTGCTCGGCGGGGAGTCTGCTTCTCCCTCTCCCGCTCCCCCTGCTTGTGTTCTCTCTCGCTGCGTCTCTGTCAAATAAAATCTTAAAAAAGTGTGCATCCCTATGATCACTGCAGCATTATTTATAATTTGCTAAGATACGGAAGCAACCTAAGTATCCATCAATAGATGAATGGATAAAGAAGATGTGGTATACTTCGTGCTTTGCAGTTTTCGTTTTGTATTTAACAAACTGAAGGTCTGTGGCAACTCTGCACCGAGCAAGTCTATTGGCACCATTTTCCTAACAGTATTTGCTCCTTTTGTGTCTCCTATTTTGGCAATTCTCACAGGTCAGACTTTGTCATTATTGTATTTGTTATGGTGATCTGTGATCTTTGAGGTTACTATTGTAATGGTTTTGGGGTGCCGTGAATAAGTCCTATACATGACAGCAAACTTAATAAATGTGTGTGTTCTCATTGCTCCACCGAGTAGGCATTTTCTCCCCTCCTCGGCCTCCCTATTTCCTGAGACACAACTCTGAAATTAGAGGCCACTGTAGGATTATTCACTGGCCTAGTGTTCAAGTGAAGGGAAGAGTCACAGGTTTCTCACTTAACTCAAAGGGTAGAAATAACGAAGCTTGGTGAGGAAGGCAGGTTAAAAGCCAAGATGGGCCAAAAACTATGCCTGTTGTGCCACGAGCCAAGTTGTGAATGCAAGAAGTTCTTGAAGTAATAAAACTACTACTCCAGTAAATACGGGAGTGATAACAAAGTGAAACAGCCTTATTGCTGATATGCAGAGAGTCTGAGTGATTTGGATAGAAGATTAAACCAACCACACCATTCCCTTAAGCCAGTTAAAGCTGAATCCAGAGCAAGACCCTAACTCTCTTCAATTCCATGAAGGCTGAGAGAAATGAGGAAGGAAGCTGCCGAAGAGAAGGTAGAGGTTGGTTTGTTCCTGAGGTTTAAGGAAAGAGGTTATCTCCATATGTCAAAGTGCAAGATGAAGCAGCAGGTGCTGATGGAGAAGCTGACAGTTCTCCAGAAAATCTAGTTAAAATAATTAGTGAAGGTGGCTACACAACAGATTTTCAGTGTAGATGAAACCGCCATCAGTTTGGAAGAAGATGGAAGAAGAAGATGCCAGCTAGGACTTCCATAGCTAGACAGGAGAAGTCAGTGCCTGACTTCAAAGCCTCAAAGGATAGGCTGACTCCCTTGTTAGGGGCTAAGACAGCTGGTGATTTTGGAGACCAATGCTCACTTACCATTCGGAAAATCCTAGGTCCCTTCAGAATTATGCTAAATCTACTCTTCCTCTGCTCTGTAAATAGAAAAAACAAAGCCTGGATGACAGCACGTCTGTTTACATCATGGTTTACTGAATATTTTAAGCCACTTTTTTTTTTTTTTAAAGATTTTATTTATTTATCTGAGAGAGAGAATGGGAGACAGAGAGCATGAGAGGGGGAGGATCAGCGGAAGCAGCAGACTCCCCGCTGAGCAGGGAGCCCGATGTGGGACTAAGCCACTTTTGAGACTACTGCTCAAAGGAAAAAAAAAGATTCTTTTCAAAATATGACTGCTCACTGACAATGAACCTGGTCACCCAGAGCTCTGATGGAGATGTACAGTGAGATTAAGGTTTTCAATTCTGCTAACACAGCATTCATTCTGCAGGCCATGGATCAAGGAGTCATTTCAACTTTCAAGTCTTAATATTTAAGAAATACATTTTGTAAGGCTGTAGCTGCCACAGACAGTGACTCCTCTGACGGACCTGGGCAAAGTCAACTGAAAACCTTCTGGAAAGGATTCACCATTCTAGCTGCCATTAAGAACATGTGTGATTCATGGGAGAAACTGATTCCCACCCATATGGATGACTTTGAGGGGTTTAAGACTTCAGAGGAGAAAGTAACTATAAGAGAGTAGAAACAGCAAAAGAACTGGAATCAGAAGTGGACCCTGCAGATGAAACTGAACTGCTGCAACCCCATGACAAAACTTGAACAGATAAGTTGCTGCTACTTAGGGATGAACAGAGCAAGTGGTTTTTTGACATGGAATCTACTCCTGGTGAAGCTGCTGCGAAGATTGTTGAAATGACAACAAAGGATTTAGAATATTACACCAACTTAGTTGACAAAACAATGGCAGGGTTTGAAAGAATGGACTCCTAATTTTGAAGTAAGTTCTACTGTGGGTAAAATGCTATCAAGCAGCATCACATGCTACAGAGAAATCGTCTGTGAAAGGAAGAGTCCATCGGTGCAGCAAACTGACGTCACTGCCTTTTTTTTTTTTTTTAAGATTTTATTTATTTATTTGACAGAGAGAGAGAGAGATAGCGAGAGCAGGAACACAAGCAGGGGAAGTGGGAGAGGGAGAAGCAGGCTTCCCGCTGAGCAGGGAGCCCGATGCGGGGCTCAATCCCAGGACCCCGGGATCATGACCTGAGCCAAAGGCAGTCGCTTAACGGCTGAGCCACCCAGGTGCCGTCATTTTCTTATTTAAAGAAATGGCCACAGCCACCCTGACCTTCAGCCACCAGCACCCTGATCAGTCAGCAGCCATCACGCAAATCCCTCCACCAACAGAAGAGTAACAAGTCACTGAAAGCTCAGATAGTTAGTATTTTACTTATCAATGAAGCATTTTTTATTTAAAAGTCAGTACAGTTCATCCTTGAACCACATAGGTTTGAACTGCACAGGTCCACTTACATGAAGATGATTTTGATCCATATAGTACTATTAAGTGTATTTTCCTTATGATTTCCTTAATGTTCTCTTTAATTTATTGTAAGAATACAGTAACATCATATAACCTACAAAGTAGGTGTTAATTGACCATTTTATGTTATCACTAAGGCTCTGGTCAACAGTAGGCTATTAGTTAAATTTCGGGGGGAGTTGGGGCACCTGGGTGGCTTAGTGGGTTAAGCATCTGCGTTCGGCTTAGGTCATGATCTCAGGGTCCTGGGATTGAGCCCCCCATCAGGATCTCTGCTCAGCGGGGAGTCTGCTTCTCCCTCTCCCCCTGTTCACGCACGCACACACTCTCTCTCAAATAAATAAAATCTTTAAAGTTTAAGGGGAATCAAAAGTTACACAAATTTCCAGCTGCACATGGGGTGGAATCCCTAATCCACGAGTCGTTAAGGGTCAACTGTACATTGCTTTTTTAGACATAATGCCACAGCACTCTTAATAGACTACAGTAGAGTGCAAACACAATATACTGGGAAACCAAAAAATTCATTTGACTTGTTACAATATCTGCTTCACTGCGATGGTTTGGAACCGAATCCGCAGTATCTGAGGTATGCCTGTAGAACACACACAATGGAATATTACTCAGCCATTAGAAAGAATGAAATCCTGCCATCTGCAACAACAAGGATGGACCTAGAGGGTATTATGCTAGGTGAAATAAGAGAGAGAAAAACACTGTATGATCTCATTTATATGTGAAATCAAAAACAAAAAACTGAGCTCACAGATCCAGAGAACATCTGCTGGTTGCCCGACAGGAGGGGTGGGGGGATGGGCAAAATAGTGGAAGGGGATTAAAAGGTACAAACCTCCAGTTACAAAATAAATAAGACATGGAAACAAAATGTACAGCACAGGGAATATAGTTAATAATACGTAATACTATGTATTGTGTGGTGACAGATGGCAGCTAGATTTATCATGGAAAACACTTCATTGGGGCTCCTGGGTGGTTCAGTCGTTAAGCGTCTGCCTTCGGTTCAGGTCATAATCCCAGGGTCCTGGGATCGAGCCCCTGCATGGAGGCCCCTGGTGGGGCTCCCTGGTCAGCAGGAAGTCTGCTGTTCCCTCCCCCCTCGTGCTCCCCCTCATGTTCTCTCAAATAAATAAAATCTTAAAAAAAAAAAAAAAGCAGTCATTTGCATATCCCCTTTCAGCTGTGGCTCGAAGAGCATGCCAACTAGACGCTCGGTGAGCGGGACGTGTGTACCCGTGTGTGGTCCTGACAGGGCCTACCCCGCGGCCGCCACTGTGGCTCCACCTTCCAGAGCTAGTGACTACAGAACTGCTCCTCAGCTCACCTCATGAACACTGGCCTGGCCCTCTAGGCAACGATGACACAATTCTGCTTACCGAAGAGAGAGTAGCCAATGTCATTAAAAAGCTCTAAAAGCAAAACAAAACCACTTTTTTCCTTGAATGTGATCAGTTGACGGGTTCATCCGAGTAATATCCTCTTATTCAGATGCAGGGAGATCAGTGGGTACCAAACCCACCAACTGCGGTGACATTATCTGGGTACCAAAATGCCATCAAATCTGAGCTATGGAAGTAATCGGGACACAACCGAATTTTAACAGTTGTCTCTAAATAAGACAGTATTTTTGTAATAAAATTTAACATGTAATGTTTGGATTCCTTTAATTTTGGTTCCAATCTGTTTGGACTTACAACTTGGAACTGAGTAGAAAGAGCACACTTTGTTTATATTCCGAGTTAACTGATCCAGCAAGTTTTAACATAAACATAAATGGGACATATGTCCCCTTTAGAGAAACTACAGTTTAAATATTAAAAAGGCTGGAGTGTCCTGCCTCTTATCACTGAGTTGTCCCCTCGGGACTCAGAAATGAGGTCCACCAGTCATAACGTACAAGGTGACTTACACACAGTCCCTTATCTGAAGAACTAAACTCTGTTTTACTTCCAGTAGGAAGATACAAATCAGAGGAAGCTATCTTTTCTAAGAATTCGTTTTTCACATGACGAACTTTCTGAAGCCCTAAAAACATAGTATTGTTTGCTAATTATCTTTCATATTCATATTCAGGGGTCATCCAAATTTTTCTGTAAAAAGCCAGCGAGTAAATACGTGAGGCTTTGCAGCCACACTGTCTCTGCTGTAACGGGTCAGCACTGCGGCTTGTGGGGCAGAAAGAGCCGAAGGCAACACGTAAACGCACCCAGCCGACTTCCAGGAACGCTGCACTGACAAAAGCAGGCGTACAGACATGAGTTTGCCAGCGTCTGCTCTAGTCTACCCCATCTTCCCAGGTTGCCCGTAGACTACTTGCAAGGATTCAGAAGCCATCCTTTCTACTCTGCCAGTCTAGACTCTGCCCAGCGCCATACCTGAAAATGCCCAGGCCTTTCACCCGTCTTCCTGGGTACCTAGCATGAGTCAGGCATTGGGGATGGGTCCATCAGTGAGCAAAGCAAACAACAATCGCTGTTCTCCTGGAACTTCTATTCAGGTGTGACATTTATAGAGCAGCTTAGATTAGGCATGTTCAAAGTATTTTATCTCACTTCACTCTCAATAAGGCCAATGGTATTGTATACTTATTTCAATGAGGAGAGGTCAGGTTCGTTGCCTTAATATCTCCAGCTGGTTAAGTGGCAGAACCTGCCTGACCCTAAAGCCCACACACTTTCTATCCCACGCTGGATCTACTCTGCTGTTTTCCATATTAAATCCAGAATCCCGATTCCATTATCTGACTCCATCCTCCCAGTCCAATCTTGTTTCAAGAAATCTGCTCCTTTTCATTGTATATCCTCTGGAGAAATACTCCACCAATACAGAGCCAAGACCCAGTTCAGGACCCCCATCCCTCCCATGTTAGATCCCTGCCTGCAGTGCTTGCCCCTCTTTCCAAATTCCACCCAAAAGGCAAGGCCCACCCTTCCCAAGCGGTTCTCTTAACTTTGATTGTACTGATGGTCTTGTCTCTCCCTGGGAATAGAGTTCAAAGGCAGAACATGTCCTAAGGACTCGGCATAATGCTTAATCTGGTGATATTCATTATAAAAACATACTAGTGCATATTCTTAGCTTAGTAATAAGACACCAAAATGGAAGTAATTCAAAATCTCCATGTTGCAGAGACACTGACGCAAACAGCAACTGGTCACTGTGTGCTATTCCAGGTAAGGTGAAGGAAGTTTGAATCTGATTCAACGGAAAGATAAACTCTGAAAACACTGGGGGCTTTGGGGTGTTTTTTTTAAATAGCAAATCTCTAATATCGGGATCACCATTACCCTTTCTGGCCCACAGGCCGTGAAATCCTGGACAATGGACTAAATACCATTAGTTGTAAATGCACAAAGATTTATCATCTACTATGAGCAGGTGCTGAAATCCGGCTCTGTGCACTTGGGCCAACTAGCCTCTCCATGCCTCCATTTCCTTATTATTAAACTGGGATTAAAAATAGCTACTCTCATAGCATTATAGGATTACAAATAATATATCAGTACTTGACATCATATAAACAGTATCTATCTCAGTGAGCATTAGTTAAGATGAAACATTTCAAATGACATTTTATCATAATTTTAGCTATGTTTAATGATAAAGGTCTTCTGTCATGTATTTCAAAATAAATTAATGACAAGACAACTGTAAGGGAAGCCTAAGCATGAGAGTGAATGCCACGCACACTGACCACCCCCCCTCTGCGGGGGAATGAACACAACGTCAGCGGACGAGGACTCTTAGCTCAAGTGCCAAACCACAGCTGCTCTGACTTGGATGCACGCGTCCAAGCTCCTCTTGGCATTAATCCCGGACAAGTCGTGTGAATCCACAAACCAAAAATCTCAAGTGAGAACTTCAAAGAATACCTGTGTTTTTGCAAGCATTTTTCTTTTAATTAACAAAAGAGACTGAAACGATCAAATTCAAAGGAACTATGGGACTCGAAAAGTTCCAGTTTCTAAGGTGCAGAATCAACACATACTGGAAAAATTCAATGACATTCAAAAAATGTAAGATTAATTCTCTTCACTGAGTTCCTCTCTTTGCATAACAGAGAGAGTGGCGCACCTGTTTCAGGGATTCCGTGGCCTGTCAATGGGAAAAAGAAAAAAGTACATGATCAAAGAGAATGAGAAACAGCGTTACTGCACAAGAGGAATTCTATAAATTTAATGTATCCTTAGGTTAATAAACATATTTAAACTACTAATGGCAAATGTCTACAGTATTTCAATGAATAGGGATCCTTTTTGAAAAGAAGAGTTTAAGGCTTCTAATATATCCTTCAAGTTCTTGCTGTGTTCGCTGTCCCCTTTATAATGGTTTTTCTAGTTCTTATTTGAAAAGAAAAACACTCCGTGACCTATCAGTCTCCCTTCTTCCTCAATGTTATTACCTTAAAAAAAATACTGCACAGGTGCTATTTTCTTTTTAAAGATGTTATTTATTTATGTGATAGAGAGCCAGAGAGAGAGCACAAGCAGGGGGAGCGGCAGGAAGAGGGAGGGGGAGAAGCAGGCTCCCAAGTGAGCAAGGAGCCCGATGCGGGGCTCGATCCCAGGACCCTGGGATCATGACCTGAGCCGAAGGCAGATGCTCAACCGACTGAGCCACCCAGGCGCCCCTATAGGTGCTACTTTAAATCTTCAATGCCCAGGGCTATGAACTAGTTGGAAGAACATCCATCCCTTAGCCTTCTTGGATTAGATCATTCAAAGGTAAGAGTACCCACTAATTAAAAATAAAATCATTATATTTTCCCTAAGTAGTGATTTTATAGAAAAAATTTAAAAACTGTTAAAGGTTTTATCCTAATTCTTGGATTACAAATTTAATTCTAGTAATAGCTTATTTTTTTTAATTTGAGGGATGGGTAGTTTAGAACATACAGGCAACAAGAGATATTATGAATATTGGCTATCAAAGGAGCATGCATTAAGCAACGGAAGAGATTTTTACCAAAACGTTTTTCTTTTAAAATTACTAAGAAAAATTAAAAATCGAGTTAATGTGTTGAGAAGCTACCATCTGAACAAAGCTAATGAGTCCACTGGGAGGCCAGAGTAAAAGCTGCCTCAGACACAGATTGTGTGGAAGGCCTTCAGAGCGGAGGCTCCGGAGTCAGGCTGTTGGGTTCATAGCCTCGTTTCCCCACCTTGAAACAGCGTACTACCTGGGCAAGTAACTAAGCACCTCTGTTTTCTCACCAGAAAGATGGAAAAGATGAAAGGAGGAATACCATGCAATGATTCTTTCATTTTTAAGGAGAAGAAACTTATAAATGCCTTTAAAAAGCTTAAAATGTGTTATCGGTGGTCACCTTCCTAAAAGTCTACTTTCTTTTATGTTTTTTTTCTTTTTTTTAAGATTTTATTTATTTATTTGACACAGAGAGAGAGAGATAGCTAGAGAGGGAACACAAGCAGGGGGAGTGGGAGAGGGAGAAGCAGGCTTCCCGCTGAGCAGGGAGCCCTATGCGGGCTTGATCCCAGGACCCTGAGATCATGACCTGAGCCAAAGGCAGACGCTTAATGACTGAGCCACCCAGGTGCCCCTTTCATGTTCTTAAAAGTTGAGCTTGAGGGGTGCCTGGGTGGCTCAGTCAGCTGAGCTTCCAACTCTTGATTTCTGCTCAGGTCATGATCTTAGGGTTGTGAGATCAAGCCCTGCATCAAGTTCTGTGCTGGACATGGAGCCTGCTTAAGATTCTCTCCCTCTGCCTGGCCCCTGCTCTTAAAAAAAAAAAAAAAAAGTTGAGCTGATATTGGACTGTTTTCTTTAAAAACACATACTCAGAGAGTGAAAAGAAATGACTGCTACTGGGCGCCTGGGTGGCTCAGTTGGTTAAGCGACTGCCTTCGGCTCAGGTCATGATCCTGGAGTCCCGGGATCGAGTCCCGCATCGGGCTCCCTGCT